GCCTCCTCAGACTCGGCACAGAAGCAGAAGAAGCCAAGGACGAAAGCCCCGCGTGACGGGTCGGGCCTCTCCACATCTGCCCACCGGGCAAAGGCCCCCAAGAAACGGGCTGAGATTGAAATCAATGGGATGCAGTGGGATATTTCGGATATTCCCATACCGGTCTGCTCGTGCACGGGCACCCCACAACAGTGCTACAGGTGGGGATCGGGGGGGTGGCAGTCAGCGTGCTGTACCACGGGGCTCTCCATGTACCCCCTGCCCATGAACACCAAGAGGCGTGGGGCAAGGATTGCGGGCCGGAAGATGAGCATAGGGGCTTTCAAGAAGGTCTTGGAGAAGCTCACGGGCGAGGGCTATAATTTCTCGAACCCGATTGATCTGAGGAGCTACTGGGCAAAACACGGAACAAATAAGTTTGTTACGATCCGGTGAGGCTTCTAATGCTGTTTGTTGCTGGTTTTTCATAAAACGCGTATGGCGTTCTGTTTTTTTGTGGTGTATATATGTGGATGACCTGGCTGGGTGAAGCTGAAGCATCTTGATAGTTTTTCTGACTGTTAGTTTTTTTTTTTTTTTTTTTTTTNTTTTTTTTTGGATGAAAATTTGGTTTTTAACAGTTCAAATTTTGGTAGTTGAAGGAAACAGTAATTTTGCGTAGTGATTGGTATGGGAGTGATTCTCTTGAGACTGGTTTATTTATTAAGCCGTATTTACTTTCTCTGATGGTGATCTTAATGTATGGTATGTGGTGCTTCATGTTTCTTGATTCTCTTTCTTGAAATAGCAAGGTTATGACCTACAGTGGCTTACTGCATGGCAGATGCTTGGCTTCTAAGGTAGGGAAGTAACATTATATATCTATCTACGAATCAGGGCATTTAAGATTGCCAATAGATGCTGTTTTAACTGAATGTAGGATATGTTTACGTACTATTTTTAATACTAGTCCAGTTAAGCCTAGAGGTTATGTTTTATTGAACTTATCTTCTAATTTAAATAGGTTTCTTGAATTGTCTAAATACTACAGGAGATGATTGCTGGTGTTGAGCAGCCATGCTGTTATTATTTGTTTCTTTCTCTTATTTTCTCAAAGCGGCAGGGAAGAATGAAAGAAAAAGACATATTTTGGAGTTGGTTGTGCTAGTTATATATGCATCCTAGGATTAATGATACCCGTTATCAATTATAATGTGCCCGTGTCGATGAAACTGTGCAGATCACATGCTTAATATGCAACAGGTGCGTTATCGTCTTTCTTCATGCAGTTGTGAAACACTTGTAAGAGCATAAGTTATTGCACTGCCATGTCTTTTTTGCAATGTGTTTATTGGTCATGTGGGAAAAGTCATTTTCTGGGTTTTTGAAGTTTATAGCTTCTGATGTTGATGTTGATCAATGATCCTGCCTTCTGCTTTCTTGTCCTGTGTCATTTTCTGGGTATGTATCACTGATTTTGTTTCATTATTTATTAATTGACTTTGTGTATGTGGTGTCATGAAGAAAATGTTTTTAAGCTTTTGCCTATATCATTGAATTTCCTCAACAATGGGGGAAATAGGACTAGGATTATATCTTCTAGTGAAGAAATATATTATATTTTTAGCTTTTTGACTAATGCTGCCTTTGTTTATTTTTTAAGTTGAATATTTTCGCCAATATATTGTAAGATATGTTTTGGTTTACCTGTAGAGCTGCAAACGAACAGAACATTCGCGAAGAAAAGCTCGTTCGAGCTTGTTTGTGTTCGACAAAAGCTAGTTCGTTTATTAATCGAGTCGAGTTCGAACAGAAAATTCGGCTCGTTTAATAATCAAACGAACACGAGCTCGTTCATGATTGTTCGCTTAATTTAATATAATTTTATTTTATTTTTATATACTTATATAATATTCTTAATAAAAATCTAAATTTTTAATATAATTTTATTTGTTTTTTTATATATTTACATAATATTTTTAATAAAAAACTAAAATATAAAAATAATTTTTATTTTTTTTTTTATTTTCGAGTTTGAACGAACAAATTTCGAGTTAATCAAACATATTTTAAAAGTTAATGTATTAAATTATTCGAACATGAACGAACTCGAACTTTGACGAACAATTAAATAAACGAACTCGAACACGATTGTTTGCTGGAAAATTAAACGAACGAACATTGTTCGAACGTAAACGAACACGAGCTTGAATAGTTAAAGTTCGGTTCGGTTTGTTTACAGCACTATTTACCCGTAACGCCATAATTTTACCTATTGGCAACATGTCAGGCCAATGGGGATGACATGTCAAAATTTGTTGGGAATGTGGTCACTCTGCTAATCACATTCATTATCTTGCTACTTTTCTTTTCTTTTATGTTATTCCTCTGTTTTTAAGTATTAACTAATGTCGCGTTTATGTTTAAAACATTTTCTTTAAGTTTCTTTTATGACTATCATCAAAGACGACGTCGTATTGGGCTATGCATGTGTATGACGTGTGTTTCAAACGTACACTGCATATATTAGTAGGTTTACTGGTTCTTGTACTGTGATTTTCCTTGATTAATGAAAATGAGGTTTATCCTCCCAAAATGAGCGATCAAGCTTTTCTTCATGGTATCAGTTGGGAAATCCTGGGAACATTGAGTAATTTTTGTTTTTTTTTTTTTTTGATTTGATCGATTATTTTGTTGCTTGCAAGCTTGATTCAGCTGCTTACTGACGATGGCACCACATCGTAATCCATGGTCGATGCTCGCGACTACTGCTGAAGGTACCTCGAGCAATGGCGATCCACATCCGCTTCTCTTGCACGGCCCAGATCACCCTGGTATGATGTTAGTTTCGCATCCACTCAGTGGAGGTATTTTCCTTTCCTGGAAGGGATCTATGATTATAGTTTTGGGTGCCAAAACCAAATTAGGTTTGATTAATGGTGAAATCGATAAACCTGTGGAAACCGATGCTAGTTATGCTGCTTGGAGAAAGGTTGATTGGATGGTCCTTTCTTGGATCTTAAATTCACTTTCAAAGGATATTGCCGAATCTTTCATATATACTGATTGTTCGAAGGATCTATGGGATAACATTTGTCAACGATTTGGTGAAAATAACAGCCCGATGAAGTATAAGT